TTGTTTCAATGAGTGGAAAGCTGCCAATGAGCCGGAAAAGAAGAGAATTTTCATCGACTTCATGAAGAAAAAGGTGAATCTAAGCAAATTAGACGATTCTACCCTTGTCACCGGAATAGTCACTCCTCCGGCAGCCATGGCCGCCAAGAGAGCCGGCGAGAGCCTGCCACAGCTCAAGCTGATCAAAGCAATCCCGGACGTTATTTTTGTGCCCTCGGCCACAATAATGGCTCTTGTTTCTGTAAAATTGTCTAGGAAGTTGTTTATTGGTAATATAGCATCATCATGAGCCTAATAACAGCCAACATTTTGGTCTGTATCAAGAATTTCACCATACATAAATTTCAGTCCGACTATGTGGCTATGTGCCATTTTCTCCATGATAAATTAACCAGTAAACAAGGATAAACAATATCTAATTATGATTTACATAAATAGATTCAGCAAAACCACTCACAAGACAGAATATTCAATTCTCACATAAATCAGACATGTGACATAAATATGTACTAAAGAATAGAAACATATTCAGAAAATGAAACTCGAAAAAAAAAAAATGAAAACCGGAAAACCGGAAAAAAGAAAAATAAAAGGTTAGATCAACATTTTTCTCCCCAAACAAAAAACACACATGTAGTTCATATTGCCAGCCAGTTTTTTATGTTTATTCACTTTTCTTAATCCTCACGAGCCGCTTGAACCTCACAGGCCAACTAACTAACCTGTGGATCTTCGAGTCTTGCGTCGAACGCCCTTTTTCCAGCCCCTCTTCCGTTTGGTTCTTGGGGCAGTTGACCGTACTTTTGGAGGCGATTGATTGTTTGCCGGCAAATTCGGCTCACCTGCGAGTTGGGGACTGATGGTATTAATGGGCCCATTGGTTTTCAGTGGAGGCTTTTTGCTGGGGTTAATAATCACTTCCTCGAAATTAATCTCTTCTTTGACTCTCTGGTTGTCGATTAGCGCTCCATCTTCAACCTGAATCCATTATTCATTTTATTAGACCCAAATTTTGAGTATGAATATGCAACAGATAGTTACAGACTAAAGGAAAAGCACTTCATTAAAAATTACAAACACCCTCTTGAGATGTGTGTTGCAACTAAACCTCCAATTCGAGCAATTTTGTAAAAGAAGAAACAAGTCTATTATAGTAGTTTTGAAATTTGGAAAAGTATAAGCTTTTCTTTTTTTACTTTAAGGGAAACACCAACTGAAAAGCTAAACACACTATGCATCGAAGGCCTCAGCAGGTTATACTGCATTCCAAGGGAAAGTATATATTACACAAAAACACATACTCTCAAAGTAAAGATTCATTCCTTTCCCGGAAATATGCACACCAGGAATGGAATAAATAATAATAATAATAATAATAGTAACAAAAGAAAAGGAAAAGAAAAACTCACGTTTGAATTTGCAAAAGGAGCATGATCTGTACTTGCATTAGCATTGTGAACACCTTCGCCGTGATTCGTAACTTCACTTTCAGAGGCATGTATATCACCCGTGTTATACTCAGACATAAGCTGAGATGCAATGTATGTTCCTACAGCAATACCATCACCATTGCTTGCATTTGGAGCTTCAAAAGGCATGGGCAAGTCTAGTTCTTCAACAAAATGAAACTTTTCGGCATTTCCTTGAATAACTCTATTGACCCTGCTCCTCAGCTGGCCAGCTTGCGACTGTAAAAGCTCGATCTTTCTAAGTATTTCTTCTAAAGAATTATCACCATCTCCAGCCACAAAAGACGATAGGTCGTCATTTGCCCAATCTTCATCTATGTTTGCTTTCTGGGCAGCTTTTTCTTTTTAACAATAAAAAAAGAGAGAGAAAGAGAGAGAGAGAGACAGAGAGAGAGAGAGAGAGAGAGAGAGAGAGAGAGAGAGAGAGAGAGAATTCATGTAAAGCATAAATGATTTATCCAGAAAGATTTCTGGGAAAGTGGGTCGATATTCTAAAAGCATAAATCACATGTATCTTAACGCTACAAAATCGAAGAAGAGGGATTATAACAAAAAGTGTCCTCGAGGGTTAGGATAGTAACGCAAAAAATCCAATTTACACAAACCCCCTGTGCCTAGATAATTATTATGTTTTACAATTTTCCCGTGCATAAAATGTTTCAGAACCCCCTTTACATTTATAGAAGTAAGTTAAACCCTGAATATTAGAACTCGATAAAACCTTAAAAAAGTATTGTATGTTATTTTAAAAACTTCTATACATTCTTCTGCAAATACTCGAAGCATGAGAAGTGTCTCGCAATTATCCCAATTCAATAAGCAGTCATGTCGTAATTTCAACATTAAGAAGTTAATCATGATCACTGAACCTTAATATTAGCTCAACATGCACACCAAGGCAGGTAAAAGACGAAAAAGAGGTTCAGTTCTCACCTGAACTTTTTGACAAGTTACTCATTGAGGCACCATCAGTAGAACTCTTCTTGTTCTCTGCAACATGCCATGTAAAATTATTTTTAGCTAATCAGGTAAACCAAAGATGAACCTTGATTAGCATTAGAGAAAATATTTCTACCATAATACGAGAAAAGGTTATGACGGGACATATATTCTGCTACATCAGTAGTTGCCTCTTTCATTCTTCTTTTCTTCCTCTTGAATAAGTCATCTGTGGCAGACGTACGCGAAAATGGGACTGACTTCACGCCATCTGCCAATGACGAGTCTTCTATCTGAATCTGCTTTCGCTTATTGTGGGCTTCAAGTTCTCTGTCATATTTTTGGGCTAGGGACTGCAATTTCTTGATTTGCAGTTCAGTCCATTTACAGCGCCACATGATTGGTTGGATAAAGGATCTCCAGTGAGCTGTCAGTTTTTTCTTCCTAATGACCAGAAGCGGCAATACATGATAAACATGAATAAAACACTTAGTAAGAAGATACAATGAAAATTCGTTAAAGTACTTAAAACATGTTATTAACTACATTTTGTAAGTCAAACGAAAAAAAATAAGATAATGTAACTCTGATAAACTCAAATCATAGGATCCAAAAAACCACCGTATGAAATAAAGTAAACATAATATAATTAAATACCTAAAGTCATCACCAAATCCATCAATGTCACCGCAAAAACCGGACAAATCTTCAGAGTTACCCAAGCTATCAACATACTCAAAATCCGAATCACTGTCATCAAATGAACTCGAGCTCTCACTCTCAGTCAAGTCCTGGTGTTGTGGTATAAAAGCCTTATTGCCCATAGATTTTGTACATTCTGTTATGTTGACCTCAACTTCCTTGTTTTTCTGCACTTGCTCAGTCTGATTAACCAAGGGTGGTCCCTCAACTCCACCATTGTCCTCAGATTTCACAGTAAATTTCATGAGCTCGTCTTCAAGTTCTTTAGCAAAAATCCCATCCGTCTTGTATGCTGAAACCTCCATCTTAGCTTCTAGTCTTTAGCATCGGGGCCTAAAGCATTTTAATGATGTACAATGAGGTTAAAATTTGAATGCTCACAAATGGATTACACAGTATTCACAAAGATTAACAACTGATATGATAAAATTTTCAGATTAAGCAAATTGTCCACTATTTGCTTAGCAGTGAACCCTAAGTGGCAAAAGGCACGCTTATCATTCAATAAGATAATACCATGATATCAACTTCTGGGGATATGGACTTATGTCAGAAACAAAAATCTTAAAAGGAAAAAAGGAAAGAACGAGATAAAGCGTCTTAACAAGAGGACTGCCAACTTAACATATGTTAAAAAAAACCACTCGGAAAAGATACGTTCAGATGACTGAACATAAAAAAAGTTTTTTAAAAAAAAAGATCACTAGAGCAAAAATGAGACATTCTCAAACATAATTTCCATGTCTTACACAGAACATGGACTTACACTGGTGGCACTGGATAAAAAAAAACATAAAATAAAATTATTTACCGATTCAATATAAAAAAGAACCAAACAATTGGACAGAAGGCTTGTATTCCAGGTTAGTCTGCCTAGTCCTAATAAGATCCCATACAAACCCACTTAATACACCCAAGTAAAAAGTTGATGATATACAATCAATTATTATTCTGGTTACCCGAGAAGCAAGTCGCCCTCTGGGACACGCCACACAGCATTGACAAATGAATGCATACACAGTAGACATATATGAGTTGCGCAAGCATGGAAAATGCACTTATGTATGACAAATGATATTACAATCAACACCAGCTACTTGCACATATAAAAACTAAATTCATGCAATAAAATCTGGTTAGATACACGGTCTCTATTTATGTCTGTAGAATCTGATAAAGATTGTCAAACCACATTTGTGTAATTCTATTAACAACGATGACCATTCACCGAATCTTCTCACAATTTCAGTTTTATTTTGAAGTCTTGAACCAAAAGCATCAAAATAAAATAATTCTCCTCAGTTTAAAATCGAAACTTAGATCAACATCCCAAGCAACACACACTCACACTACATGTACATTACTTCAACTGTTATAGGCCAAGTTCAACTAAGGGTAACCATGGCCCCACCAAGTACAATTTGTTTTCCGGCATGGCTCGAACGAATGGCCAAGAGTTATAAAAGGTGATTATGGTAACAAAACAATGAACCCCGTCATTTGCTTGTTTACATTTTTTATGCAAACCCATATCCATAATAATTTTATGTCCCACTTTTCTGTAAAGATCTTAAGGTCTTCTCAATAATCAGAAAAAAAGAAAGTTGGAATCTTTTAATTGACATCTGCCAGTCCTATTGATTTGATACATTATTCAAATTCAATATATACGCATACATACAAGTCAATTATTTTCTGGGGGAATAGGTTATGAAATTGGGGTATTTTTTTAAACAAACGCTAGAGCTGGAGAGAGAGAGAGGAACTGTCAAAGTTTTAAACTTTAACCAGGTCGATCACTAAAAATACAGCTGAAAAATTAAGGAAATCGAAATTAAAAAAAAAAAAGCTTGATTCAAAAATCAAATCTCCTCGACAAATCCAGTTCAACAAAACATCATCGCTACGCATAAAGCAAATCCCATTAACGTAAACAGCGATAAAAACTCCTCAATCAGAAAACTGGGCTTCAATTAAACGCCTACAAAAGAAAATAGCCACGAAAATCGATAAAAGAGTACCTCTACCTGAACTCGGCGCTGCCTCCGCCGGTCGCCACCGTTAACGGTCAACCGGAGCAAAACAAAGCTCTCGCCTGGGATGGGTTTGGGGGGGCAAAATCACTCTGGGTTTTTTTGTACGGAAGGGGCTTTTTAGTAGCGAGTGAACCTCATAAATAGCTCTTTTTCTGCTGTCTGAGCTGGCCTATTGGTCAAGACTCAAGGCCGACCATGTTATGTGCCACCTGTTTATTTACTCAATTTTATATGTATTTTATGAACTTTATCATTATTAATAGTCAATTTAATCTGGTGATTTTAATCTGAATTTGATTTGATGCTTTTTTATTTTTCAGTATTTATTTTTTAGAATTGGTTATTTATTGGTAGCCTTTGTTTGGTTGTTTTAGGATTAAACTAGAATTTTTACGGTAGAAATTTTATCCGTTAAAAACTCTAATTTCAATTGTTTAATAATTAGTATTTTTAAAAATTTCAAAACTAATTTCGAAAAAGCTCAAATAATAACTTTCTTGGATTAGAAAATTAAAAAATTAATAATTTTACATATCAAAAGTATTTATCTACCATGTTCCATAATTCTCTAATTTAATTTTAAAACTACTTATTATTTGATTGGCCATTCGTTGTCTCTAATAATTTTTGTTAATTATTTTAAAACTTGAAAGGTTTTATTTAGTAAAATGTTCTTTGTGTTTATTGCAATTGGAGATGAGATATAATTTTCAAAATAGGATTATTTCCTTCTTAGATATAAGTGAATTACACGGGTAATATATAGTACATTAGTATAATCATGTTAACCATGACTAAAGTCTATTTATAATTGGCCTATTGAACACAATTTTTTTATTTTCTTTCTTTATTTTATCAATATAACTCACCCATAAATCCCAGAAAAAAAAAAAAAAAACATACAAACAAGTGCCCAATTTTCTTCATATTAAATCTGAGTCTAAAATATTTATTTCTTCCTATCCCGAGCCCCAACAGGATTCTTTCCTATCTACTAAAAAGTCAAAATATGTGCAAAAGAAGTCAATTCCCACCAATTATCTCCCACGTGCCTCAAAACTTTAATCAACTCCTTTATTATGTAAAAGAAAAGAAAATCTAAAAAGTTACATTTCATTATTTCACATTAAATAAAATTACATATAGTAAAGTCACCAAAGGAAATTTTCTTTATTCAATAAAATATAGGTAGATTCTACGGTTCCGATTATGAAACCATTTTATCGGAGTTTGTAACCATTAAATGATGATCTAACGGTTACTCGACAAAATAGTTGTACCATTTTCTTAAAATATAATCAGCAAATAGACCATGTATGTACACCGAAAAAGGGCAAAACCAAAAGTAACAAAAAGTGCGGGTCTACAGATAAAAAAACCCAATCTTGAATGATCACCTGTTAGTTTTAGCTATGTCCACATTTCTGGGGTTTCACAGCAAACCAGCCCACATATTGTTCCACACACACACACACACACAAGCTAGATAACACCCCAAACTTGAAGTAAAATAGGCCACTGAGATTAATTTCAACAAAAAAAAAAAAAAAAAAAAATGGCCTCTTTTAAGTATTTCTTGATAATATACACAATAGTTTCAATTTTTACACTGGTTTTGGTTCCAAGAACTGTTCTTTCTGTGCCCTTTGTCGTTTTTCACGGTAAATTTATATGCTACATTAGCTTTTGAGCTGTTATTTGGTCATATTGTGAGTTTCAAATATGCTCTTCGTTGCCTTCTCTTTTGTTTTCCTATGGTGGTAAGTACTGATTGCTTTTATTGGAGTGAATATTATGTTACCGTGTAAAGCTCTGTTCTTTCTTGGCCCAGTTAGTTATTGCTTCTTTAGCTGTAATTGTTAGTTTAGCATAATATTGTACAATGTTGTTTTTGTTTGCACTGCGTTGTGGTTTGTTGGAGATCAAATTTTAGCGTCTTTTTGCTTGTTAGTTTGTACATTTTCAAGGAATGGAAAAGAGGATATCTTTACTCTTGTTCTGGTTCATATTTATGTCTTGATGGGGCATATCCACACTCTACAAACCATTCCCTTTTACTCCACATCAATGTAGTTTTGATTTTTGATTTTTTTGGTTGTTTATGTATTCATTTGGTTTTGTTGAAAAATATTTTCTTCTGGCATGGAAGAAAGCAATAGGTCATCAATCAACAGCTTCACCTGCAGAAGTAATTGAAACTTAAAAGAATTGGGATTGTTTTGAACCTACAGCCGAGTCATAGTGTTTATTGTCTTACGAGTCGCGGCATTGTTTTTTGTTTTGCAGTTTAGGTCATCCTATGAATCCTTACTGAGCCATTAGTTGTCTTCTTAAAAAACTGAAGTCCATGTTGCAGGAATATCTGACAATTGCAAAAACAAAGGAATAACTCATTTCACCACTCTTCTAAGTGACTGGTCGGGTTCGCGAGGATATTGCATGTAAGCTCTTGCAATTACTACCATACTTAAAGTACTTCTGTTTCTTCTTGCTTTTTGTATCTCATTTAGAAAACGGATTTAATATGTGCTTTAAACTTGGACATATTTCCAATATTGCCTTTTGAGTTCAAGACTTGATTTTTAATCCAAGCAAGCAGCAGTTGATGATTCTTTTATGCAAAAAGGTTGAATTTTTACGATTTCACGATAAAATAATAGAACCCACTTTTGGCTCATATGCATATATCTTCACGCCTAACTTGAGTTAAGCCATGGGCTTATAGATGCAAACCGTTACACTTAATATGATTTTGCATATTGATACATGTTGGACTTTTCTTAATGTATCATGATGTTTTCTTATGTTTCTCTTTAGTGAAATTGGAAATGGTGCGTGGGATTCATGGACAATGCCCTTCCTAAAACAAGTAAGTCGATTCCTTGTGAATTTTGACGGTCAATTATGGTTCTCGGTGGACTTAAATATATCAATTAACATTATTTCTTTTGATTTGTTGATGTAGACAGCCATTGCTTGTGAAAAGGTATTATAGCTTTGTATGAAGTGTTCATTTTAGTGGACATGGAAATAAATTTCATCTCAGACGGAACCTTTCAACTTACAGGTGAAGGAAATGGAAGAACTCAAAGAAGGTTACAACATTATTGGACTTTCCCAGGTGACAAAAAAGAAAAAATATAATCATATCCCCACCCATCAAGAGCTTAGTAGTGTCTTAGTCATCCAGTGAAGAATCTTCTTATTTTATTTTATTTTATTTTTATTTCATTGCAGTAGTTTTCATATGCTTTCTGATATGCATGGAAATAAAAAATAACCAGGATCGAACATTTTGAAAAGATTAAATATTTTCTGTTGTATCATATATGATATCACTGGGCATGGTTCAGTTCCAATTTCCTCGTCTTGATGAACATATCTAATTTCGTACCTTCCAGGGTAATCTGGTCGGCAGAGGGGTCATTGAGTTATGTGATGGTGGACCTCCAGTAAGTTCTATCTTAAAGAATATGGAAAAAATATAGTAATAATTAGAAGTTAGAACAAAACAATCTTTTCAATTTTATCCATTTATAATTCTTTCTCGCGTGTCTTATCACATTATTGTTATTATGAATTTACTACTTTTATTAGCGGCGCACCTGATATATTTCCAAATTGGCACGCACAGGTGAGAAGTCTAATATCTTTGGCAGGTCCGCATGCTGGAATAGCAGCTGTTCCCTTATGTGGAGTGAGTATTCCTTTCTAGCTGCATTAAGTGTTTTGCAACATCCTATTATTTCTTCGGTTGCGAATGGTCGAGTGAAATAATAAATCAGGAGATTAGTTTAGATTTAAATATTTTTTTTTTTTTTTTTATTTTTTTTTTGCTAGAGTTCTGTTTATTGGTTGTTTCTAAAAATTATTGTCTTGGTTTTGCAGTCGGCTTTGGTTTGCATTCTCGTGGACTTTCTAATCAAGTTTGCAATTTACAGCGACTTTGTTCAGGTCCAAATTTACTCCATACATTTTGTGATATCATCGTCATTCATGTTCTGCACTTATTAACTCAAGTTTAGTTATCATTCATACTTATTTACTTATTTTGTGATGCAAGTTACTTTTAAATTTATATGTTACTTCTTCTTCTTCTTCCTTTTTTTTTTTTTTTTTTTTTTTTTTTT